AGATTGGGAGAAGGTTTATACCAGAAAGCAAATGAGCGTAACCCAACATCATCAAATTTTCGAGCTCTGTATAGAGACTTTCGAGAATACAGAAAGGTGGGCCCAACATAAATAAAAAGATCAAAGTAAGAGTAGATTTTCTAGGATTTAGATGCGTAAACAGAATTTAAAGAGAATATTAGAGGAGAGAAGTGTTGTTGAGAGTAAGAATTTTAAATCTAACCAGCATTTTGTCTGTATTTCGCAATGTGGAAGAATAATGAAGTGGCGCACATATGTATTTATGTGGGAAAAGTGGACTTGTGTGTACATGGCACTAACGTGTAACCGATAACGGTCGATAGAGGAAGATTAATAATATTCAACAGCGAGAAGAGCCTCTCGATGAAGGTAGTATGAATGAATAGTATGGTACGCGTGGTCGAGGAGAGTGGACGTGATCAATCCAAGACGCTAATGTATCGGATCGAGAATCGGAAACATAGCAAGATTTGTTATAAAATTTGTTTAAATTTTAAATAAATTTTGATAATGAAGAAATATATAAAGTAGGCTCGTAAGAGATTTCTAAGAAGCAATATGCGTTGCAAAGACATTAGCTTTTTAGTTTGATTTATAATAATAGATTAGATACTAAAGAGGGAGAAAAGATATATGATAAGTTAGCCAAACAAAGAGATAGGAGTAGTAAGATTTAGTTCAAGTGAGTGTATTAAGGATGAGATCAAAAATTACTTTTTCTTAGAAGATGATATTCAAAAACTGGATGAGATATTTTGCTAAACTTTTTAATGAAGATTAGTGAAAATAAGATTGACTATAGTGACCTTAGCACCCTAAATAAAATAAAGATTTCAATTTTATTGGCAGTATTAGTAAAAACTGAAGGTTAGAGAGGCTTAAGAAAAATGAAGGGTGGAAAGCTGTTGGACCTTGATGAATTCCAATAGAGGTGTGGAAATGCTTTAGAGATGAAGGAATTTCTTGGCTTTACTAAACTTTTTAATACTATTTTGAAGACAAAAAGATGCCAATGATGGAGAAATGAGTGTGTTTAATTCCTATTTTTAAGAATAAAGGTGACCACAAGATTGTGTGAATTAAGAGGTATTAAGTTAATGTGTCATACTTTAAAACTATGTGAGGATGTTATGGAGCATAGGTTGCGGCGTGATACTAATGTTTCTCAAAATCAATTTGGATTCATTGCCGGGTAGGTCGACTATGGAAGCCATACATTATTAAGAGGTTTGATGGAGAATATAGAGTAAATAAGGAGGATCTACATATGATATTTATTGATTTAGAAAAAGCATATGATAAAGTTTCCAAGAGAAGTGTTATGAGAGTTCTCGAAAAAAAGGAAGTCAAAAATGCTTATATTCAAATCATTAAAGATATGTATGTCAGTAGCTATTACTTGTGTTCAAACACAACGTGGTTGGACGCAAGTATTTCCCTATTTGGGTGGGTTACATCAAGGATCAGCCTTAGCCATATCTTTTTTCTTTCAGTCATGGATGTTCTCACTAGACATTTGCAGGAGATGTACCTTGGTGTATGCTTTTTGGTGATGATATTCTTCGTTGATAAGACTAGAGAGGAGTTGGAAGTAACTTGAATTATGGAGGTCACCTTAGAGTCTAAAGTTTTCGCTTGAAGTAGATCTAAAACGGAATATATGGAGTGTAATTTTAGTAGTAATTACCTAGTGAGGGGATTGTGATTTGGGCGATCAAAGTTATTAATAGAGTACACGTTTTAGATATCTTGATCTATTGTTCAAAGTGATGGTGAAATTAGATGGGAGATATTATAGCAAATTCAAGTTGGATGGTTTAAGTGGAGAATGCATCGGGCCTTGCTATGTGAAAGAAATGTACCCTCAAACTTAAGGGAAAATTCTATAAGATGGTAGTGAGGCTGCAATGCTTTATGGTGCGGAATGTTGGCCATTAAAAGAGAAGTATAATAATAAGTTAAGTGTGACAGAGATGAGGATGCTCAGGTGGATGAGTGGCTTTACCCTTAGAGAAATAGGATACGAAATGAGCATATTGTGAAAAGGATGGAGTAGCTCAGTAGAAGAATAAGATTAGAGAGAGTCACCTTAGATGGTTTGGTCACATAAAACGGCGGCCTTCGATGACCGGTTAGGAGAGTAGAGGTATTAGATTTAACTTATGTTAGAAAGGTAGGGGTAGACCTAAAAAGACTTGTTAGAAAATAAATACCTTTCTTTATTAGATTTAAAGAGAATTTGACTTTTAATAGGACACATAATG